GCCAAGGCTTATCACTTCAAGCAAGGCCACTAAGTCTTGAAATATCTCACATTAATGCTTGCCCCTAAAGTCCTCTTCCATCATCACAAGACACCAAAGTCTTCTCTCTTAATATCCTTTTGTTTCTAGGACATAAATGCTTGAAGGGCATTTTGATAAATTCACCCTTGACACTATTCACGGTTACTATTCACGTGAGCTCGGGCTCGGGCCAGCAAACTTGGGCTCGAGCTTGAATGGGCCCAATTGGAAGAGAAATGGGCTTGAAAAGCTTAATGGGCTTTCCTTGGGCTCATTGGGCTTTGGTCTTGGGTGTGAGGCCCATTGGGCTTTTTTTCCCAGTCGACTCCCTTGTGGGCTTCCATTCTCGGCCCACTAATTCCTTTGTCCAAAGTTTCGGGGCCCAAAACTATTCTCTAGTTTTAACCCAACTAACTCGGACCGGAAAGTCTCGGAACAATCCTTAATCGAAAACCTATAATCGGATCAAGGCTTGTGGCTAAACTTCAATGGGAAGTGTTCTTAATACGGCCTATTCGAGTTAGGTGGCCTCTTGGGGTGTCGCTAGCGTGTCTTATGGTTGATTCGTCAATCAATCTATATTCGACTCTCATTAATCCATGGATCATTTTCGGTTATCATGTAATCGTGTGGAATTGACTTATTTACCCGGGGCACGTGGTCTAGTGAAATTGACTTAAGATCGTTCGGGTTTAGTATAATGATCGTGCGGAATCACCAGCAATATGACTATGTATACTTTCGCCGAATCGATTCCTAACCTTTCACTGATTAACCCATGACGTCATAATGTCATCCCGCATCGATCCTTATGGTCGAGCTATTTTCCATGGTCGAGTACTCTAGTCGATCGCATTGTCCAACCCTCAATTGCCTTTCCTAATCGAATAGTTGACCCATGAACGATTCGTGAATCGACTCATAGCCTAATCCTGCTATTAGAGCATTGACAGTTTAAGCCACTTCACTTGCCGAATTAGGTTCCGAATCGAGGATGTCACAAAACTATGGTTGTTTCACTTAATAGAGAGAGAGGAAGAGAGACTCATTTTAAAATACTATTTTTTGAAGGCTCTTTGCAAACTATCCTTCCCTACCAATATTGTCTAGAAAGTATCATTTTTGAAAGGGTTAATACTACAAAAAACTCCAAATAAGGGCTTGAAGTGACTTCATTTTCTCAAATAAGATCACGAAGTGGACCTTATTTCAAATAAGGATATGAAATGAACATTGTTTTAAATAAGGGTGTGAAGTAGCTATGTTAGTCTCAAAAAAGGACCTGACTTCACTAGGGTCAAGGGCATTTTCGTCTTTTAATTTTTTCTTCTTTTTTTACTTATCTGTTTTTTTTCTTTCCATAAAAAACAAATTTAAAAAAAGCTAAAGTTAAAAAAAAAAGAAAAAAAAACGGCCCTCCCCCCTTTGGTCGCCTCCCCATCTCTGGTGGGGCAGCGGCGATGGCCTGTTGGCCCTCGCCAGAATCAGGAGAGGACATCGGTGACCCTGCCGACCATCACCGCCACCCCACTGGCAATGGGACGACAGCCACAGGCGGGAGGGCTGCTTGTTTTTTCTTTTTTTAATTTTTTTTAAATTTTGAATCTAATTTAACTAAAATTTATGTTAAAATTATTTTTTAAATGAAAATGCCCTTGACCGGCTGCAAAATTTGGTCAGCTGACAAGCTGGCGGGGTTAGGCTCTTATTTGAAATTGTTATAGCCACTTTATGCCATTGTTTGAAAAAATGAGGGCACTTCATGCTCTTATTTAATATAAGGTCTACTTCAGTCTTTATTTGAGAAAATGAGGGCACTTAGAGCCATTATTTAGAATTTTCCCTTAAGTCAAACAGAAGTGTTTGGCAAATCGTTATATGGAAACATTTGTTCTACCTTTCTCACAACATAAGACATACACTGCCATTTTTGAAATTCCCACCCTAGTACACAGGTGCTTTGCTTTAACCAAACAAAAGTGTTTGGCAGATTTTTTTGACAATTATCAATATAGTCCTTTTGGCCAAATTTGACCAGAAATTGCTAAGTGGGTCCAGGCCGTCCTACGGCGAGGGCTTGCAAGCTTTCCTTAGTTGCCTGTGACAATGAAAAACTAAAAGAAAATATATTAAAATTTAGATAAGATTTAAAAACATTGTAAAAATTGTTCACATCAATGCCGGCCGTGCCACATATGACGACCAATCTCCGCGTCACTGATTTCCTACCAAAATTGATCGAAATGACTATATTGGCAAATTGTTAAAACAATAGTTCTCTCTTCCACTTCCCTCTCTCTTCTCCCTCCATCATCTTCTTCCACCTTCGGCCATGGGGGAGGGTTTGAACTAGTATCACCCTCCCCTTCCTCTCTTATTGATTTTGTTGGTGTTTTTTTTTTCTTTTCATGTTTCTTCTTCTCTCTCATTTAGATCCGGGAGTTCTCTTCTCCTGATTAAGTTCCAAATCTGAGAGTTTGAACTCTCCCGATCTAGTTTTAGATCTAGGAGCTTCATAAATATGTTTTCGGGGATTCAATGTCCTGGTGCTCTTTGTCTGTGCACAAGTCCTCTGCCTCCAATTTCAATAGTGATTGTAGGAGCTCTGGCGTCTCGTTGAACCATAAAAATTTGCTCTCTCAAGATGTTAGATTTGTGCTTGTTCAACCTGTTTTAATTGTCTTTGTAAAACGATGGTGTAGAGGAAGCCGAATATAGGCGTGCACAGCCAACTGGCAACACCACAATTATTGGAAAAGGAATTTCCGGCTTATGCTCATTAGTGACCAAGATTCGAGATCCAATGATCGGACGCCAAAACTTAACCCTGCTGGTGCTCTATTGATTTTCTAGCTTTGGCTTTGTTTTGCAGTATTTTGGGTTTTACTCTACCTTGATTTGCTTTACTTTGAAATTTATGTACTTTTCACGAATCATTTTGAATAATGAATATAATTTTCTTTTGACAAAAAAAGTTGGCCAAATTAAAAAGTTTATAACTGAATTGGCATTCATACTAAAATATTAAACCAGCGTGAGGGGAGTGTTAAAATACTTAAATATTAAACCACGCCTTCATTTTACTCTAACTCTGTATGGATAAGCCATCAAAAGGACTTCCGATGATTTTCAGTCAAGCTTTTTGGTACATGTTTTATTAGTGAAATCGTGACGATATGTCCCCAATCTTCTTTTTTCCTTGAAGGGTTCGTCCTTCAATGACAAAAGATCCAATCATATCCCCAATCTTCTTTTACTGCACACCCATGTGAAATTTCTATAATTTACTGACGGATGCATAATCAAATCATCTGTAATCATGACTTGTCTTGGATCGTTGGTGTTGTTACTGATGGTACCTCACAAAAGCAAGGAAGGCAAGCTTCCAATTGGGCCTCTCCCATCAATCCAGGTGTATACATTTGGCGAGCTGATTGTTGGAGTTGGCGAATACTTCGGGAACTCTTGTTTCTCATACCGGGCATGTCCATGTGAGCTTAGGGAAACCGAAGTATGATCCGACGATATGTGACTCCTGCGCACAGAATGCAGGAGTTCGGGGGCAACGCCCCCGAAACGGGAGTCCCGCTGTTCGGACAGCAGGCGGGGGTTCCGCTCCCGAAACAACATCGGTTTTTTGGCTTATGTTTTAAGCTGACCTGTTTGTTGTGGGATTAAAGGGATTCGGATAGGCTGGGGCTTTGGGCCCATTTTAAGTCATATATATTGTACTCGTATGAGAGATCATTGTAACGAGTGGCTGCGGTTGAAACCCTAAATATCATAGTGGAATCCCTTTGCAGGACGTAGCCCTATTCTGAGGTGAATCTGGGCAAATTTGTGTGCCACTTTTCTATTATCTGTGTAATTGTTTTGATTCGGTTTGGATATATCCCCATCACTGATAAGACTGCGTTCCTTGTTTGCCTACATGCCCAACCCCCCAGTTGAAGAGAAAGTTTTTCTTCCCTCTTTTTTAGGAAATACCCCCATATTTTACATCCTCGCGTTTAAACAAAGCAATTTAAGGACATGCTTAGGTCCAAGGGTTCGTGACCTTCAACGACAAAAGATCCAATTATATCCCCTTGATAAATAAAAAATAATAAAACAAAGCGTCCGACCTCAATTCAATCTGCAAAGAAGATAACTTTTTTCATTCCGAAAAACACGTGATCCATGCATTTCACCTATGTGAAATTTCTATAATTTGCTGACGGATGCATAATCAAATCATAATGCATCATAATTTCGTACATTTATTCATAGCTTTTTATATAAATTTCGTAATACAACATAAGAAATTCACTCTTTTTTTTTAATCCAATGGTCACCAACACTCCTTAAAAACACCCCCTTCAATTCTACTTTCATTCTGTTTACTCGAGCGCAATTACAGAATACCAAAAACCCAATTATTTTTCATTGCTGCCCCGTGGAATCTATAGACCACCTCGTGTGTCAAACTAACTTCGCCTTTTGGTCCACTTAAAGACAGATCATTCGCGTTGAGATTTAGGGGTTCCCAGACATTAGAAAAGGTAGCGAGCATGATGACTTGTACCAAACATGTAGGAGCAACGAGATCTGAAATCCAAAATTGAAAATGTGATACCATCTGCAAGTTTTTTGCACATAGATGTGCAGTAAAATACTCCAGGGAACTACATATTACATTGCAAAACAGGCATTTTGACACTGTCCCTGATCATTTTACACGACCTGCGTCAATACAAAAACTATACCGCAAAAAAGACGTTGACGATATCAAAGAGATACTTACATTTTCAACTTCACAGCCTAAGTTTTTTATCTTCTGATATAAAAGAGTGCAACCTGCATATCAAACACACCCCTCCAAGCTCTTAACAGACATGACCTTTTCAACCATGTGAGTGTGGAGACTTCAATGTGATCTGTAATTGTCAAATCCCTCTTGAGTATGCATGATTGATCGCAAACCAATCTCGCCTCAGTCATTATATGGGGGTAAACACGGTGTTTATGACTTCCTTCAAATTCCGACACCCTATGATGACCATGCCATCAAAGGCTGAATTCGCGAGAACCTGCTCGGCTGACCTTGGGACGATACACATCTTATATCCAAGCTTTGCCACAATGTGCACCCTCTCCTTCATTCTAGGAACCTAGAGATGTGAAGGGGGAAATTTGGAATTGCCTTAGTGAAATGAGATGTGTCTACTAAAAACATTCGGAAACTTGATCTTACCATGTGAAGCTCGCCACCGAGGCCAATCTCTCCAATAAAAGCAACGCCATAGGGAATGGGAAACTCAAACAAGCTAAAGTGAGCGCATGAAAATGCAAAAGGGAAGGAAAGAAAAGATTTTAAGTTAATGAACAACACATCAATGCACTAAATTGATTGGTGCCAGGAAAGCGAAATCAATGCCATAAAAGCTCGTATTTTTAGCGGCATTGTACTTTTCTTTCATGCGAATAATGGATATCAAGAAAATGACAGAGAGAAGCACCTGCTGCAGATTGCTGCTGCTATGGCAAGATCACCAGCCGTCTCTGATAGTTTCACTCCACTCAGCACATTTAAAAAGGTGGCCTAGAGGAGGAAATATCAATTACAATTATACAAGATACTCAGAAACCTTATTTTTGTAGTTTCACATTTTTTAGGAGCCATAATTGATTGACATATCAAGCCAGATGCTAAAGTCCGGTAATATGTGTAAGAGGGAGACAGTATTTAATTAGCGCTGGCATAAACAACTAGAAAAGATTAATTTATCTTACAGTTTTCTGAAGCTTTAAACCAGCTTGCTCTAGTAAAGCCTACAAAGAGCACACCTGACAATAGTTAGCTTTGCTTCCAGATTTCTCCATGCAGGGGATAGAAACTTACAGTTCAGCTCAATAAATTAGGCCAAAATCAAATGGCCAATTACCGTACTTCCATGCTTGATTCTCCAGCCGTTTACCAAATTGCAAAAAAGACAACTTTAGAATTCATGTGCATACAAGCACAAACAAATTTTATAGCCTCAGTTCCTGGCCTCAGATAATAAATATACATGTTTGGTTATGATGCAGCTTCTTATGTAGAGGGGTTGTTCTCGGAGATATATCATTCTCATACCCAAAAAGAAAAATAATAAAGGAAAACAGAGTATCACTAACCACAATAATCATTTCTGCTCTGCTTCGTAGGATGCCATTGATGTGCCGAAAAATTTTTGAGCTAGGTAAACATAAAGCCTACAGCGAAGTTACAATAGTCAAAATGAAGACAAGAAATAACACCACGTGGCAGAGTCAACAGCAAGGATGATGCTAGAACAGGCATTAGCATCGTGGCTGAAGAAAAAATGTATGTAAACTTAGCCTCTCCAAAATAAATGTTTCCGAAAAGTTCAGATCTCCTCAAAGTAGTTGCTAACTTAAAGTTCATTTGGAAAGATGGACCCAGAGATATTATTAAATCATCGGGATGAGAAGCTTCATGTGTGAATGGTGGCTAAAGTAGGATAACGGAAACCGATTATGGAAAATCTACCTGAATTTTGAGAAGAAAGGTTCGAGATCCATCCATCACTACAGCAACAGCTAGTCCAGCCATAACTTCTGATTCATAATGCTCTTCACTTAATAAGATCTCATTGGGATTCAAGACAGCTTCCAGTCCCGATTGTGACATTTTAAATACCCCAAGCTACATTATGGAGAAAAAGAAGCGTCACAATACCTTGAGAGTTCTTCTCCGCTTTAGAAATAGGGATATTCTAGCATGCCGAAAATCTTTTAGCATTGCAGACGCTTGAAATTAGCACGCAGTGTGTATGAGAGAGAGGGAGTAAACTTGCATCTAGAAGGAGAGGGATGAAAAAGAGGGAGTGCAATAGTTTAATGAACCATACAAAATGAAGCTCCAAGATGGAGCAACAGTCACCCAGAGCAAACACTTTCAAACGCATATGTGTTCCTTCTATCCATAATTGTATCAAGATGACTTGAAAAAGTTTAAGAGATCAACTTTGGTAAACACGATCTAGATGTGTCCCAAAGCAAACTAATAAAGCAAATATTTAATGTCAAATATATCTCAGTGAAACAGCATTCCGAACAAAAGAATAGTCCAAGATACACACAACTGCATAAACAAAGAAAAGCAAACAGCATGAATTCTGGTCCATGTGCTAACATAAAACATTAACAGAATGCGTACCTCATCGGTGGACCCAAAGCGATTTTTCACGGATTGCAGCAGACGATGGGTGGAGTGCTTCTCTCCCTAAGAAATCAAGAGAGGAGTTTTACTAAGATAGTGGAAAGCACTAACTTGTCAAGAAGCTCATACATGTAGCATACCTAAACCAAGTACGATAAGTCAAAGAGAAAACTTCTGCAGTTATCATCGAAAGAAATACATGAGATCATAGCCAACAGGCATGCGACTCTGCTGGTAAAGGGATTGGGGGCATGGGGCCGGAGAGTGTTAGGTCGGGAGTTTGATCCCTGTAAGCACCGCACATACGTGTACATAGAAGAGACGAATGAGACAAACAAAAAAAATTCACAAAATCATAAGTTATGATTCATAACACGAAACTTATTTTGCTGAAATAAGCAGTTGCAATCCCTAAGACAAAAAATCATTCTAGTAGCTACCGGATAATTTTTTTAGATTGTCGTCACCTAAATTTTAACGATCTTATTTAGTCATTTATTTCATAAGAAAATTAAGAGTCGACCCCGACCTTAAACAAAAATATTAATGATTTGCATTTTCATGTTAGAAGCATTTTAATAGTAATAAGATCACATAAATTGCATTATAATTAGTCTGGAGCTGAGCACATTTAAGTAGGAAAGTTCTGAGCTTAATTGACTTTTCAGGAATAAGCACGCGGGCCTCATTAAATTCGGCCAAGTCTTAATCCTCTCTACTGGCCGAAATTTGCATGTGCCTTGCACATGTCCTAACCTAGGAGAGATTTAATTTTTTGGTCAAATTTGGAAGTCAAGAGGGCATATTCGTGACAGAAGATTAAGAGAGATATCCTAATTTCCTACAATGAATATATCACATAATCTCTTTGGTGCAATTTAGGAAAATTATATCTTGAAAAAAGCCCATCTATGCCTATATAAGCATCATTTGCTCTCAATAACGTTCATAATGAACAGGAGAGAACGCCAGACATCCACCGTTGGTCCTCAGCCCGGCAAACCCTCATGATGGCGCAGCTGTTGCTCCTTGTTCGCCATTGCCCAACCTTGCCCCTGCTCAGTCTTGCCCGTCGAGACCTCACCAATGAACCTCGGCACCGCGCCCGCAGAGCTCCCAGGTCTACGCAAATCTCCGGCCGCCCTTGCCTTACTTGGGTATCTTTTAGCAATCCATGGGTAATCCTAATCAGGGTAGGTCTAAAGGTTGGTTTAATTTATGTGGTGTTTTAATATTTAGTATATAGTTTTGGTTGCATGTTATTTAGTATAAAACATTACGTTATTTACTATGTCTTAATTATCTTGTATTGATTTAGACTTGTTAGGGCATTGGACTTCCGAGCCTAAAGGTCGGACCCCCAACATTGTCTCGTGTGAATTTTTATGCTTGAATTATATTGATGAATTTTGAACATAACATATATTTCAATGCGTCAGGTATATTAATCATCATGCATATCGCACGTCCCATGTCAATTGAATATTTAAATTTTAGGTACATTCATAATTCATGTTTAGGATAATGCATATTAGAATCCATATAAACTTAAGATAGTTTATAGTTTTCATTTAAAATAAAACAAAAATATGTCATTCAAGTCACGTAGATTGCATGTAGGATTAGTTAGTCTCAAAATATGCATGTCATATTGCTCGCCATTTAGTGAGTCTCATAATTTAATGTTAGTGTCTTGGTAAAAATCACATCACGCAGATAGGTTTAATAAATGATTCCATCTCATGCATTATTCATGTTACATTGCATAAAAAGAAAATATAAAAAAGAATTAACATTGCATTAGGTCATGTTTATTTATAATAAAGAAAACACAAAAGCAAATAGTCTTTCATGAAGTTTAAATAATAGGGTTAATTCATAATTGATCTCATTCCACGTCATTGCAATTGCATATAGGTTGAGTTCAATTTAATTGTAACATAACATATACATGATTTAGATTTCATATTAGTTCATCAATGCACATTAGATTGTAAGTTAGGTTTATTCTAAATAAGAAAAACCCAAAAACAATTAATTATCATTGGATAGTTACGTTTAGAAGTCATGTTTTTGCTTTCTAGTTAACGTTTTGTAGAATTTTCGTAACGTAACTTTGCTCTTGATTTGCTCAGCCAATCAGAATTGTTTCATCTTCTCAAAAAATTTATTTCTTGCTTTGATTATTGAGTGTTACGTTCTTGTTTACGCATCGCATGATCAGCCACTGCATATTAGCAGTTTAAGATTAAATCTAAGACCACTTTGAAAACATTTTTGAAGTAAAGTGAGAAGGCACAAAAATGCCTGTTATATTTATCTAGCTTAATCAAATACTTTTATCTATGAATTTCTAGTTCATAGAAGTGAAATGTACTCCCACATTTTATTGGGTTTCTAATTGACCCATAATAGATTAGTGGCGGCTCCTAAATGAATTGAATTGCATGTTTGAAAATGATTAAATCAAAATCTAAAGTTAGGATTGGGATGGGCCCGAGAGAGTCCATGCTAGACCCCAACACCATCTTTTTGATGAGTAACCATTTGTGCCCGCCTAATAATCCATTAGCTTTCCCTTGGTAATTCACCTCTAGAAAGGTTGGCACATGGATCGCCTCAACTAATTGACCCATCTTATGTGAAGGGAACTTGAATTGCTAAGTTGGAATCAAATAACTTCAACGACAGTAAAAGAATGCATTAAGTGACTGCGGAATACCTAAAATGAGATGCTACAATCATGCAACAGCTTCAGCAAATTCACTATCAGTACTTAAAATGACATGTTGATAAAGGTACCAACTTTCAGTAACAAAATGACATCCACAATGTGCTTCAAAACTCCGGGACCATCTATTTCTCCAGATTTTGTGCTATGTCCACTCTGGAAAACACAATAAACAAGGGTGGAATCACATAAGCAAAACTTTCTAGAAAGATTGATTGTTACATCAACTTGAATATCACCAAGTAAAGATGTATGGGCTGACATAATCGTTATAATGCCAGATAGCACTCCAAATTTGTAGGTGATTTATCACGTAGAAGACAGTGAGACTAAAAGATTTTGGATACCAATATAACAGGAATGTTCGTCTTCTTTGCATAACGACCCAATGCTAATGTACATTCTTTCACCTGCCACACATCAATGTCATTCACATATATCTCCTGGGTGCATGAATACAGAGTCTAAACAAGCCATCAATATCAGTACTGTCAAAATCGGGGAAAGTACTTGGTTAACCAATAGAAACGTCCAGCAAAGCACACTTAAATATGTGATGACAACCACATTCTAGAAAATACCGGTCAATCTTACAAGAGAAGTGGAAAAATCATGGGCAAAAGAACCATTGGCAACATATCACTAAACAAATTAGAGTGCCCTATACTGAAATTGCTAATATGCTGAACTTAGATCCACTTTTGCGTCCTTGCGAGAGGGAGAGGGAGGGGGGGGAAAGATTTCAAAGATGTTACCTGTGAGAGACTTCCAGCACTTCCAGCCACTCCTTTTAGATAAACTGTCTGAATTGAATCAACAATTAAAGCTCGAGGTGAAAGAACTTGAATTTTTTCTAGTATGTCCTGAAGAACAAAACGCATGTCAGGCTTCACAAATGCTTAATCAGCACGTTTTGAATTTGCAATAGATCTGGACTTTTCATATCCTAACAGATAGACAATTTTTGCATGTACACAACCCATAAAAGGTTCCTTTATGAAGCACATGTTCGATTGCTTTCTAAGGAATCATGATCTCTATTGAACTTTGGGTCTATCAGTTTACTAATGGCAGCTCAAGGATCCAATCCAATTCACACATGAAAAATCAGGACAAATTGTGAAAGCAATTGGAGAGGTATAAATAACTGCTCAGCAAAGGTCCTGACTTTGCACCTACCTCAATAGCAGTGCTTGAGCACACATACAGTTCTTCAGTTCTAATGCCTAGACGGTCAGCTCTGCTTCCAATTTGCTCCACACTCTACCACAAAATTAAAGAGAGTCCTCAAAAATATACAGGTTGGCCAAAAAGGAAAAAAGATAAGCAGCATATACAGCAGAAGCGTATCAGAGGAAAATCTATATAAGTCATTATAAAATGTAGCTTTCTGTCAAGCCCCCTTGAGCAACATTGTCTCATGGCTAAATGGTATTGTGCAAGCCAGTTATAGGATAGAAAGCCTAATACAGAAAATGTGGAAGAGCATATTGCAATTAACAATCAAGAAAAACCATTGAAGAAGCTATAAAAAATTTAATCTGGTGACAAAAAAAGAATATGCTCGACAACAAAGACCAGCAGCAGGCTAACATGAAAACTCCATTTACCTCTTCCCCAGAGACGTATACAACTGGAGCCAATCTGCCAAGATCGTGCCCTTCAACAATCATTGCAGCCATCTTCCAATAGAAAGATGCAATATATGAGATGTGGACTCGGTAGAGCACAATGGTTAGATTAGGAAATAGATATGTAGAAAACTAATAATATTTTGATGAAATATCTGATGAATCCTATAAGTACATTACCTGCAGCAACAGGGTACTTTTGCCAACACCAGGATCACCTCCCACCAAGATTAAGGAACCTTTAGAGCCACAATGCAGCAAAATCAATAGCTTTGATATAATTAAATTCTTCAAAACTTCCGTATATCTCAAGTGAAAGTTTTAGTACAGCAGAAGATTCATGCGGACCATACAGTAAAAAAGTAGGTCATACCTGGCACAAGACCACCATCTAGCACTCTTGAAACCTCCTCCCCAAAGTTTCCATACCTAAATATCAAGCACCCCAAGAGACCATTTACTCTACAGAATTTGGGCGACACATGTGTTTCTTCCAATATTAATTATTAGAAGTACTAATGTGTTAGAACAACCAGCATGAATGGTTTCATCAAATCAGGACCAAAAGTCATATCTTCACTCTCATATTACTAAATAACACTATCATTCCAGAAAAATTTCATCAGAAATTTCAAAATCACCACATAGTGCCCGATGATCCAACTCCTGGTAAGACGTTACGAAATAAATCATGTCAAATGTAGAAGACAATAAATTCAACTAAACAACAACTTTCTTCAACTATTTATCTTTCTGTAGCAGCTGCATATAGGTCCAAAGCTAACCAGTATTAATTTCCGAGAACAGAACAAACTTACAGAGGAATCCGCCACTCTAACTGATTCACCCCCCTATTCACATCCGTCAACCGCAGCAGCCGCACCTCGCCAGCCCGCTGCGGCATCCACGACCTCACCACATTCTCTGAAACCTTGAAACCCCTCGCTTTCTCACTCCCGCCACCGTTCTCCTCCACCGCGAACTGCTTCATCGTCCCGGCGCTGTGGCACGACCTGCAAGAACCCCACCACTGTCCATCTGTGTACCCGCAATCCGAACAAACCCAACAACCCCTCTTCTTACCCTTCTTCCCACTCCCAGCATAAGAACTCCTCCCGCCCCCAAAATGCCTCCTTTCTTCGGAAATCTCGCCGTTCCCACTTCTCGCTTCGTTCTCAGGACCCGACCCTGCTTCTCCGTCACTGCTTCCGACGCAGCGGTTGGCAGGGTTGTAGATATCCTCAACAGTGTGAACAGTGTCGCTCATCTCCGACTTAGAACTCGAGAACAAGGACGCGAGACTGGGTTTTTGCGGGAGAAGGCGGTGAGTTGTGGAGTGAACGCCGCGGTAGAAACGGGGGTTCTGGATGGGCTTGAAGAACGCGAGGGATGTGGTTAATGTGGTGGGATGGAGGAGGTGCTTGTGGGTGCAGAGCCTTCTCAAAGCTCTCATGTCTGATGCTTGCGCGACATACAAAAGGGTGCGCGAGAATCTCAGAAAGGTGGAATCTTTGGGGCTTACTAGCAGAGTTCAGAGCGAGAGGAGGACGAAGAAGTCAGCACAAAACCCCGCGAAGTTCGAAAGACAAGGGAAGCTTCGGACAGGAATAGTAGACAGTATCATCAGATCAGGGCTCTTGTTATTTTTCTCAACACAAAAACAAAAATTATGGAGTCAAATTATTGAACATTGCCAAAAACTTGTTAATTCTCATTAAAAAAAAAAGTTATGTTATCGTGTCGGGTCGTGTTTGGCTCCAATTTTCGCATTGCAATTCGTATTTTATTGTGTCGTCTATATTATTATATAAAATAAAGAAGATTTTAACATTTTTTCTTTTTTCAAAATATCCTTCATTATTTCTAATATATATAAATATATATCATCATGAACAAATGTGTCGGTTAATAGTTCCATTTTATCGGTAATGGATTTTAATTTTAAAATTTGAATCTTTTCCCTTGCATTTTCTTAAAGGATGGCAAATCTTGCGATATTTTTCTTTTTCCTTATATATTTGAACAATAACCTTATGTACTCTTATAAATTCTTTCTTTGTTCTTTCGACGACGCAAATTATTGATAGCATTTAAGTGATTGATTTTTTAAATTTGTGACACTTAAATGAGCAAAAAATATCAAAAAAATTGTCCATGCCAATATTGACGGTGTCACGTAGGACAACCGGCGTCCACATCAGATTTTTCAATGAGGTAAATTGCCAATGGCACTTAAGTAATCGATTTATCAAATTTGTTGCACTTAAGTGAACGAAAAAAAAATTATGATACTCAAATAAGCGTCATTCAAAAATTATGAAACTCTGACAGTTCTTATCTCAAATAAAGTTTCTTCTTACTGGGCCCACCAATCTATACACTCAATAAGGAATATCAAAGCTTTCTCAACCAGTGGATCAACAGATCTAGTAATGTGGATCAGCAGAGCTTTCTCAACCGAACATTTGATATCAAAACCATGTCACCCAACCCAACAAGCGATACAAAGCTATGCTTTGCTTCGCTGCTCTACACTATCCAGACGTAAAGTTCTAAAATATGCCCTTTCGAACTGAATTGCATGCAAACTACATCTATATCTCTTTGCGTGTATTTGAAAAACCAAAATATTAACTACATGCCCGGCCGATCGAGATACCATATCACTAAGACACGTTCTGTTTCCGACATCTTTGTGATTGGAATAAAAAGCTATAGAGAAGAGAATTATTTTTTCTTTGTGTAAATATGGAATGGTAGAAATAGAGTTGATGAAAGAGAAAAGAAAAGAAAGACGTTTTTTTATAGATACGGGTCTTCATACATCTTTTGCATTTAACACATGATCATAGTTTAAGCCGCTTAACTTCTCATGTGACTGCAACTTTATAGAAAGTAATAATTCAGGGGTGACAAAACTAGGGCTAGGTTCGAATAGATAAAACTTGCTTATTTTGCACTCTGATTAACTCTAATGGTTCATTTATTTCTAGGAAAATGTATCATTCTAGAAAACATTTTCTAGGAAGTCATTTTCAAGAAAAATAACTTTATTTTCTGGTAATTGGCTGAAATTTGAAAAAGACCCGAAAGTATTTTCAATTGTTTGGTAAGGAAAATCCGATAGGAAAATTATAAAAAAATTCCTATATTTAATTATCTTTTATTTAAATATTTTATTTTCTTTCTTTGTCTTTTCTTTTTTCTTTTTGCTTCTTTCTTGGCTTGTCGACAGCCATTGCGATGGCTAGCAACTGGTTGCCCTCGCCTAGGGCCGGTCGTCATGGTCGACGATCGACCGAGGAAGAAGCAAAATTGTTAAGAAATGCAAAGCAGAAGCCCGATACCTTTTGCCCTGGGAGTTCACCTAAATGAGCCAAAATTCGAGAGTGTTAACATATCCAAATGAACCCATTTATATTCAAAAACTTAAGTCAATGAGTTATGGGACAACTAAGATATATTAACTGCTCTATACCATACCAATTATCTGATGTCGGATTTCTCTGGCACAACTCACGCGTACATCTTAACAAAAATAAAAATGGAATAAAAGAAAAGAAAAGAATTAAAAATAGTATAAATTCGAATTTTTAATATAAATTGAATTAAAAAAAATATTTGAATTTTTTTTAAATATTGTTATAAGAACAAACGTTTTATTAACTAAGGATCCAAGACGGAGTGCCGATGACTTACACATGGCCTTTGTGGACCCAAGCCTGAGGGTCGGGACCAGAGCTCGAGCGTCGAGGACCCAAGCATGGCTTTTATGGACCCGAGCTCGGGTGCCAAAGCATCAGGTACGGGGGCATCGGGGGTTTGGGCCTGGCCTCGATGGACCCAGGCATGCATGTCAGGGGCCCAGGCCTGAGCACTAGGGTCCCGAGCCTAGCCATAGGAGATTTGATCCTGAACACTGGGACCCGGAAACCAATGTTGGGGTTTCTGTCCCCAAGTGTAGAGTTTGAAGTCCAAGCGCTGATATCTAATCATAATTTGGATAACATTTTCCGATTCTTTCAAAATGGAAATCATTTTCTTGGATTTAAGTTTTGGTAGGAAAACATTTTCCGTTAACTTGGAAAACATTTTTTGATAACTCATATTCCTAAGTGAACCAAACGTAAAAAATGAGAAAAATGTTATCTCAGAAAATGTTTTCTACGAAATAAATGGACCCTAAAGTTAGAAGCTAAGAAAATTATCTACGGGATGCAGAGGATACTAATGTACGCAAGATCATAGGGAATTACGCACATGAAAGAACTTTGTATTTATTTACAGTCACAAATCCAAAGAAAGCACTTTTGGAGCATATCACAACAGCACACTCACCACACTTCCAGAATCATACATTCTAAATACCAAGGGATAAGTACACCAGGAGTCATAAAACTTGTTACGAAAGTACAATTGAGTTTTAAAACTTTTAAAAAGGGCAATCAAGTCCTAAAATTTGTCATAAAAATACAATTGAGTCTTATGATTTTCAAAAACTGCAATCAAGTCCAAAAACTTATTAAGTTGGTGCAATCAAATCCTTCCATTAACTTCACCCAACTTGACAAAAGGAAAATGCTGACATGTTTTATGACTTGATTACATTTTTTGAAAGTTTTAGGATTCAATTGCACTTTTTGTGACAAATTTTAGGACTTGATTGCACATTTTAAAAATTTTAGGACTCAATTAAACTTTTGTGACAAGTTTTAAGATTTCTAGAGTTTTAGTACACTTATCCCAAATACAAATTAATAACAAGGTGGGCCATCATGAAAAAAAAAATTACATCTTTTTATTTAGGGAAAATTTCATTTTGGTACCCAAAGTGGGGCCTTTTTCTCAATTTGGTACCCAAAGTGGACATAGTCCCAAATTGGTACCCAAAGTGTCCATTTAGTCTCAATTTGGTACCCAAAGTGGACATAGTCCCAAATTGGTACCCAAAGTGTCCATTTAGTCTCAATTTGGTACCCAAAGTGCCAATTCAGTCTCAATTTGGTACCCAAAGTGGACATAGTCCCAAATTGGTACCCAAAGTGCCCATTTAGTCTCAATTTGGTACCCAAAGTGCCCATTCAGTCTCAATTTGGTACCTGAGTTCGCCGGCCGGTCAAATGCTCACCGGCCGGCAAGAAATTATTATTCGCTACAGGAACGGTATTTTTACTTTTTTTTTTTTTCCCTTTTTTTTTTTTCTTTTCCTTTTCCTTTTCTTTTTTTTTTCCTTCTTCCCTCCGCTGGCCACAACCATGGCCGGCGGAGGTCGCCGGCGTCGGCCCTCGCCGGCGTCGGGCGAGGGCGGCCCTTGCTTGGGTCGCCGCCTCGCCCGACGCAGCGAGGGCGACCTCGCCAGCCCGGGCGAGGGCCGCCTCGCCGACGCCGGTGGTGACCTCGCCCTCGCCGGATCCGGCGAGGGTCACCCTCTCGGCGTCGGGCGAGGGCGGCCCTCGCCTGCGTCGGCGAGGGCCACCCTCGCCCGGGTGGGCGAGGGCCGACCCTACCCGGATCCGGCGAGGGCGAGGGTTGCCCTCGCCGGATCTCGGCGAGGTCACCCTCGCCGGCGTCGGGCGAGGGCGGCCCTCGCTGGCGGGCGAGGGTCGCCCTCGCGCGTCGGGCGAGGGCCGACCCAAGCGAGGGCGACCCTCGCCGACGCGGCGAGAGCGACCCTCGCCGGCCCGGTGCGAGGGCCGCCCTTGCCCGACGCCGGCGACCTCCGCCGGCCATGGCTGTGGCCGGCGGAGGGAAGAAGGAAAAAAAAAAGAAAAGGAAAAGGAAAAGAAAAAAACAGAAAAAGGGAAAAAAATAAAAAAAGTAAAAAAATACTGTTTCGAGTAGCTAACAAAGAATTTCTTGCCTACGGTGAGCATTTGACCGGCCGGCGAACTCAGGTACCAAATTGAGACTGAGTGGGCACTTTGGGTACCAAATTGAGACTAAATGGGCACTTTGGGTACCAATTTGGGTCTATGTCCACTTTGGGTACCAAATTGAGACTGAATGGGCACTTTGGGTACCAAATTGAAACTTAATGGGCACTTTGGGTACCAATTTGGGACTATGTCCACTTTGGGTACCAAATTGAGAAAAAGGCCCCACTTTGGGTACCAAAATGAAATTTTCCCTTTTATTTATTTGGATGGCGAAAAAGCTACCTTAGGTAAGGAATCCCCGGACCAATCGATAATCCGACTTCACTCTCATAGATCCGGAAAGCAGTGAGCCAAAACCTAAGCAGGATTATTCTGCAACCTACCTGGCACGTGGGGCTAGATCAAACTCCGAGGAGGTCAACTTTAGGGACCCATAAGGGGAAAATTACCAAAAAAGTCCTCAACCTTTTGTAGTTGTGCCAATTCAGTCCTAAACTTTTTTTTTGGCCAATTCAGTCCTAAACCTTTTGCAAACCAGCCAATTCAGTCCTTTTGGCCTGCCGGCGTCCACGTGGCAATATTTTAATATTTTTTTATTATTTTCGAATTTTTTTTCCTTTTTTCTTTTTTTTTTCTTTTCCTTCTCCCCCCTGGCCTGTCCGGCCAGGGGGGAGGCTCGCCGGCGAGGGCCCAACTCCGGCGAGGTGAGCTGG